TCCCCCCCCCGCCCCCCAACATTTGCCAAAGCACTGCAGCACAGCCTCAACACACACTCCTGTTCTCTCACTTCTCTGCCCTCTCAGGACGATGAACGCCACAGCCTCTCCTTTACACTAACTCTTTCCTTCGCATGTCTCTGTTGCCCCCAAACGATCTGCGATATAAAGCCTCGCTCATTCGCTCACTCAACCCCTCCAGAGGCTTGAAACAGGGGTAGCATAGTTCGCACCGCTGTAGCACGCAGTTGCAGTAACGGGCACTCCCTCCCCCTAACACTCCCTACGATCTCAGCGATGAAGGGGTGATGGCACCGTGACCCGTCAGGTCCCCTTACCGTTTCCTTAGACTGAGTTGTAGATCCTGAACTTCCAATTGAGGTGGAAAGGAGGAACGAACATCTCAGTTGGTACACCCACTAACTGTTGAAATACAGACTCAAGTTCGAATCCACAAACAATCAGATGCCCAGAATAACAAAAAAGAACATCGCGCTGTAATTTCTAAAAACTGCAGTTCTAATTGCATAAAATAAAAAAAAAACATCAAACCAAAAAAGCAACAAATTGTTTATATTTGAGAACCGAGCAACCACCACAGATCTCTACCTACCCAGCAACAGAAACCTTTCAATACCGATGTGAAATGACACAGCACAGCAACAGCGCAGCCCAGCGACAGAATCCTTTCAATACCGATGTGAAATGACTCAGCACAGGCACAGCACAGCGCAGTGCAGCACAGCACAGCACAGCACAGCACAGCACAGCACAGCACAGTGCAGCGCAGCGCAGCGTCCTCTGCTGTAATTCACCTACCCAAGGACAGAAATCCTCCTTTTTCTTCTACAAGTGATGATCAGGCAGCGTGCCCTCGACAGAAGCCTTGGGCGCCACATGCGTTCAAGGTATCGATGGCTCACGGATTTGTGCAATTCACACTGGGTATTGTGTTTCGCTGCGCTCTTCATCGTTCCGAGGGCAAAGATATTCGTTTGCCGAGAAAGACAGAAACCCTTTAACACCTATGCAGAAAGACTTGTACAGCACAATACAGCATCCTACACTGTGTACTAATTCTGTCCACACAACAGTTGGATGCATCCCTGTTGCCAGACCTTCTCAGATATCGCCTACACAAATTCTAGCAGCCCTGCTCCCATAGATCCCCCTTTTGACAGCCACACACACACACCCCTACACACCCACACACCCACACACCCACCCACACAAACACCCACCCACCCACCTGATGGATCCCTGTTGCCAGACCTTCACTGATATACACTACACAAATTCTAGCAGCCCTGCTCCAGTAAATCCCCCTTTTGACAGCCACACACACACACCCGTACACACCCACACACCCTCACAAACACCCACCCACCCACCCACCCACCCACCTAATGGATTCCTGTTGCCAGACCTTCTCAGATATAGCCTACACAAATTCTAGCAGCCCTGCTCCAGTAGATCCCCCTTTTGACAGTCACACACACACACACACACACACAAACACACAAACACACAAACACCCACCCACCCACACAAACCCCCCCCACCACCACCACCACACACACACACACCCACACCCACTCACTCACCCTTCTGCCCCCCAGCCCCCTTTTGACAGCCACACACACACACCCCTACACACCCACACAAACACCCACCCACCCACCTGATGGATTACTGTTGCCAGACCTTCTCAGATATAGCCTACACAAATTCTAGCAGCCCTGCTCCAGTAGATCCCCCTTTTGACAGTCACACACCCACACCCACCTACACACCCACACACCCACACACCCACACACCCACACACCCACACAAACACACAAACACCCACCCATCCACACAAC